AAATATCTGCGATATTTAGCTATTTTTTTTAATGTTAATGTGGATTTTAATGTTAATCTGGACCACAATAAGCTAACTAGCCACAAAAATTCAGCTTTAGGGGATTTTGTTCAACGAGCACCATACCGGGTGTTGCATCGTCGTTGGGAACATAGGAAATCCCATGCAAAATTTGAACTGTCCAGATATTGGCTCCCCTATGGATTTTATAGCGAAGTCGTAAATAGACTTTTTAAAGGTTGTTGTGGTCCTCTTCAGAAGGGCCAACTTGTTGAGGGTCTTTTCGGGTGTGGAATTAATGTACACTGTTGTTTTTTAATATAACTTAACTTTAATTATGATAAACTAATTACAATAGTTACTCTGAGGGAAACTGTGAAAAATAATAACGTGTTGAAGAGTAAAAAGAGAGTTGAAGTTGTCAGCGTCATTTTAAACGTAACTTAATTTTAATAAAATTTTAATATAGTCTGTCCCACGTCCCACGAGAAGATCCTTGACAGTGATAAATGTGTCTGTCATTTTAATTTTAAAGTAGTTTATTTTATTTTACAAAGAAATAACTTGGTACAACTGCAACGCATAGCAGGAAATATTTAAAATTTGACTGACAAGTGATTACTTCAAAATATTGTGAAAAAAAACTGTATAAGGCTGTATATTTTGTGAACTATTGTTCGTCCCATTCAAAAGAAGGCATGTCTTGTATTAGAGTTCCAAAATTGCCTTCCATGTCCTTTCTTCTATTCATGGGGCGAACCCCAAATCGCCTACAACCTCGGTGGCGATTCATGAGAGTAGCGACACAACAAGCCATGGTTATAAGCAAACCCGAAAGTGCTGCAATTTTTTGTATGGACCTCATTGCACACAATAACACAGCGAAATAAAAACGATTTGATTTGATCTACTAGTGTCAGTTTTAAGAATTAAGAAATAAAGATCCTTGACAGTGATAGATGTGTCTGTCATTTTAATTTCAAAGTAGTTTATTTTATTTTACAAAGAAATAAGTTGGTACAACTGGAACGCATAGCAGGAAATATTTAAAATTTGACTGACAAGTGATTACTTCAAAATATTGTGAAAAAAACTGTATAAAACTGAAAAAATGTAATTGAGTTATTTTATTTAATCAAAACGGTATGTGTTAATACAAAACAAACAAGAACAAGACACCATATACCAAAAAAATAGAAAAAAGAACTATTTCTTACTTTCAAGCTTTATGAAACTTCCCGCATTTATGATTATATTTATCAATATAACTTATATGTACAAATACAACTTTGTTATATTCCACAGGAATAAATAAAACAAACTATTTTATTAATAATAACATTTACCAAATTTTATACTTTAAAGGTTGATTAATTATTATCTTAATATTTTTAAACCAGTACCTTTTGACATTATTTTTCTGCAGTACTAAAATCCATTATTCACCTATCGTGTGATGTCGATATTTTACAGCTACTCCAGTTTTTAGTATGTGTTTAGTATGGTCCTACCATATTCGAGATGCACTTATCTACGACGAGATGGTATACGAACTTTATTGATGGTAACTTGTAACTTTATTGTGTATAAGATTTTCGGCCTGGGCAGCGAGTATTAACCATACACTGTGCTCTGGGTCTACAGTTAATTTTCACTCGATTTTTCCTCCACTTGACTTCAAAAGACACAAAACACAAGTAATAACACGAATCAAAATGCATTATCTTCCAAAACGCAGAGTATTTGACAAAAGTTGACACAAAATTATAACCTATAATTTGGCAAGACTTTGACAAGCGTCAAAAATCTAAAGGCGAGTTCATACGCGTCAAAGTACGCATCTGCGTCCGTTTGTCGTTCATCGTTCCGTCAAACCAATAGAATTGAAATACGATCTGTCATTTTTGAAATAAACCAATAAAACTGGTTAAAATCAATAAGAGACGACGTATGACGGATTTATATTTAAACCCATCCATAGTTAACTTAAAAATTATTAGAAACTTTTTTTAGTAAAATAAATAGATTGGTATGGGACGTCATCTGTTTTTCTTCTGTCATCGTCTGTCGAAATCTTACCTGAGAAAAAAACAGAGTATATTCAGTACTAGTAATAATTTATTTTTATACACATAAAGAAAAAGTGAACATGAAAAAATACGTGGGAAATAGATTAGACGTGTTTCGGTTAATTTTCCCTAAATATTAAAATTTTATTAAAATTACTTTTGACAATGACAAAATCATAGTTTGTATACCTAAGGTATGTCAGTTTTTGACTGGTGTTTGATTGTTACCTGTTCGGTTTTAATTTAAAAATCTATTAAGTTTTTCTCAAATTACCTAAAATCGACTTGTCCAAAATTGTTCAAATTTGGCATGTGTGTTTACCAAATGTAGACGTTTAAAAAGTATATTTACTACTTCGCTATAAAATCCATAGGGGAGCCAATATCTGGACAGTTCAAATTTTGCATAGGATTTTCTATGTTCCCAACGACGATGCAACACCCGGTATAATGAGCATGTTTCATGTTTTCAATTTCCACGTAATTATGCAAATTTCAACCTAATTAGTGCTTAAGTAGCAAGCATATAAATATATGAAACTTAATATTATGCTAAAAAATGGGGTAAAAGTTTGAATTTTACACTTACGCGCGCTGCGATGACGTATGTAGCCCTCGCCAATATGATTGGCTGGTTTTCGTCTCGAAATAAACTTGATGAATTTTATGATGTTGGCAGCATTGCTGTTTATTCAATGTCAAAATGACATTGTTTACAATTGTTTATTTTTGATTTTAAATTAAATTTGCATTTAAACTATTTCCAATAATGCTAAAAAATTAATTGCTCTATTGTTGGATAAATTTTACCAGTAACTATGATAAAATGGTAGTTTATGTACGCGCCGAAAAAAGATTCAAAACATTTCAAACTGAGTTTATATTATGTTTGATTTGTTAAATCATTAATGGCCTGTTTTTACATGTGGAAGAAGGTGAGGAAAAATTAATTTGAATAAAATGTAATTCCTGATAACTAAGATTAATAGTATTTCCGGAAAATCACAGTATTCACAGTTATGGTATAAAACAGGTACGCTACAATCTGATCATGACAAGTACGTCTACTATCTGACCAAGAAAAGTTGAAGATGATGAACTAGAAAACAATGAACTAGAACTACAATTAGAAAAATTCTGTTGGCACCAAGAATGTTAATAAATACGTTCATGGTTAAGTTATTTCAGAAGACTATTAATAACATACATTGTATAGATAAAATAAGGCTCTAATGCATTGCCTTTTTACATAAAATCAAGTAAATATTTTATTTTAAAGTTTTGTTATTAAATGTATTGGGTCTGGTACACTTTCGGTATATCGCCAATCTTGAAGTTATTGATGTAAATTTGATATTAATATGTTCTACAATTAATATTTTAACGTTTTAAGTACGGTTCGTCGGCTAAATGTTTGAGATCACTTCACTATTGATACTTAAAATTATTATTTTTAGGTTAAATTTACGATAAGTTTTCAATGTGTGCGATAATTATGACAGATGAGAGAGAATGTGTTTTAGTGGTTGTATTATTTTCGTTTAACTTTTAAAGCAACGTTGCCAATGCTAAATCGGATATTGTTTTATTTATACTTTCCTATTAATTATGAAAAATAGCGGTAGCGATATTAAGCTGATAAGAATAGATATTAGACTTTGATCTGTGTTAAAGGTTGAGAAGAGGATCACAATGGTAAAAACGTCCGCCGTAACTGAGTTTTGATTGCATTGGTTTTAACTTTTTTGCGGACGGTGGATCGAACCTCGGTAGACATAAATTTTTTTTATTTTTTTACAGCTGTTTTTATTTTTTAAAACTGTTTTTATTTTTTTTTATTTATTTAGAGTCGTTGGTAACGGCGATTGCATTGGTTAGTCTTTGGTGTGAGTTTTTTTGTATTTATAGAATACACGCAAAAACCTGATCGATTTTGTATAACTCATGCGCATGCGCGGAAGCAAAGGAGCGAAAGTGGAGTGCGGCTCCCTAGCTTCTAGTAAACCAATGCTATTAAAACTCCTTCGTGCAATTTTGTGGTTACATATTTAGCTATTGTCAGCTTTCGTAATAGGTCATTTATTTAAAATCCGTAATTACCCGAAAAAATACAAGATATGGCAACGTTGCAAATTTTCAAATTGTTAGATTAGGTCTAGAATATATTTGTCTCTCTCATTGCATAGAAGAGAGAAAGAAGGATATATGAAATGTCAAACTTCCATCTGGTCTCAATTTTCTTTGTTAAGAAAAGTGTTTTTCAGTAAAATTTTGGACATTTTTCTATCCTCAATCAAGTGTGGCTTTTAGATAAACTATAATATAATGAAAATATAGTGAAATTATTACTTTAGAAGGCCAACATAAATAAAAATTCAGTGTTGAAATACCCCACCCAGCACCCCTTTTCACTCCCCAATCCCGTAAAATTCTCGGGTTGTTTATGGACGATCCGCACTTTTTTCGTTGGAAAATGTCATTATAAGTGTTCCTCTTCTCAATTCTGTATAGAAAATTTTAAAATTTTGATGTACCTAAAGTGGACCAGACCCAATGTATTAATATGTGATCAATAATGTTTATTATATAAGCCTAAAATATTATTTTTTAAGAGTGTTATATATCAGGAAGATTCTTTCTCGAAGGAAACATACATTATGTATTACATATACATATTTTATTATTTTTTAAATGTATTAAATTAAAAGGCAAGTAAATATAAAGTGTTTTAATTACAATATTGTAATAATTTACATTTTGATGGTGATAAGACTTACTGAATATCAAGGCAGTCAATTTACAATTAACCCGCTACAAGAACATAAAATATAAATCTCTGATATAAATATTATGAGAAGACAAGAATGGCAATAAAAGTTGCTAGAAAGTAAGATGTTATCTTCCATCATTCTACATAAATCATAACGTGGTACCTTTCTTGATTTTATTTGTTATGTATGACATAATGTTTACATGCCGCCTAAAATTAAAATATAAATAGATAAATAAAAATCTACATATTTAGTTATAATTTAAAAATCACCAGTGTTAGCTGCACAGCTTAAAAATTTAGTTCCCTCCACTTTCTGTACACTTATACCATTGCAGTCACATAATGTTCAGGTGTACTTTTTATTTGATTGTACAGAAGCCCTTTTTTATTGAAGTATCCAATCGAACTGTTATCATTATGATTCACTCTATGCTCTATAAACAATGGTTTTATTACTTTTAAATAACTTCTTCAAGAAAAAAAAATCTCACCTTGATATTTTAACTTCTTTATATCAGCACTTAAGTATTTTAAATTATCTCTATAAAAACTGTCCACCATATACTCCGTCACCATTCGAAAATGATACGAAAAAGTGTTTTCATAGTTCTGAGCCATTTAGATAAAATTAAAAGTTATAACCAAGAAAATTTACCGCTGAACTGAAAAGCACGAAGAAAAATAATAACAAAATCCAAAATGGCTGCGCCCGATTCGCATGAGCCAGGCAGTCAGTCATACCAACATATGATATGAAACTTCCCTTTCTACGATCTGAAACGTAATTGGTGAAGGCTATGTACGTCACAACTCACAACTCAACCAGGAATGTTCAAGTTTGAAATTATAATTTAATTTCTAAAATAATATCATGGAATTTTTCCTAATTTCCGATGTATTGTAAGTAATGAAGACTTAATCTATGCGAATTTATATTTTTTGGAACATGCATGGCCCATTGAAAATAAGAGTCCTGAACTATTAGGTGAATTTTTTTTTTCTATACTATATGTAGTACAAATCACATACACATCATGATTCACGATGAGCTATATGTATGGTGCACCGCACATAATATAATCTTCGTTTGTTTTGTACCCACTACATCATAATACCGTATGATCGAATAAAAACGGCGTCAGCGATGGCTATGAAATGAAGATCGCTGTCATTTTATATGTAAATTTATATAGGAAATGCCATCGATCGTCATTTCCAAGCCAACTGGACGCCGTTTTTATTCGATCATATGGTATAATCATCATTGATCAATCATCATTTGTACTACATATACATAGTAATGTATAAATCTTTAGAGCTTTTTTAACGTAACTTCGCAATTGATGCATAAATTTCGTAAAAAAATACATCCAACAAACAAATATCCAAGATCCAAATATCGACTATTATATAATACACTTACCGGTACGAAAAACGGGCACCTTAAAATTTTTTATTGAAGTTTAATATATTTATATAATATTTATTAGAGCTGCAACAAGTCAGTTTTAAAAAGACTTAAGTCTTAAGTAATTTATAAAATTTAATTGATTTAAGTCTTAAGTCAATTTCAATATAAAGTTCAAATGACTTAAGTCAACCAAACCAAACCAAGCCAAAGTCATTTTCTTTCAAGTCAAGTCATTTTTGTAAAGACTTAAATCAATATAACATTATTTAAGTCTTTTTTTTTACTTAAGACTTTTTTTACTTAAATTATGATAATACTGATTTAAGTCAGTAAAGATTTAGATACAGATTAAAATAAAATATTATATAAACAACTATAATAAACAATAAAGAAATAAACGCATCAAGGACCTAAAAACACACATAAAAACATCAACAACTTAAATAAAATTAAATTTTGTGGTACTTTGTACAGGTTGTCCCATTTTTGTGTGTTTTACAGGGTTTCTCGTTTATGGGCAGCGGTACAAAGATACGTTTTTCACAGAGGCTACTTTATTTATGAAACTAAAAATGGTAAAGTTTACCATCTATATTATGCTTCGGGATTGATCCCGAAAAATTAGACGAGATATCGCGAGATCGGGATTGCATTCCCTATGGTAAACACATACCTAATATATTTGATGAAGGTTGAAAATTGAATGAAGGTTGGAGCCACAGCTTAATTCGTTGACCGGGACTTTTCAAGAGGAAAACCTTTTGGGGAGTAGTTTTAGGGGGGGAAATGTAACACCGTGCTCGACCAGTTTTGGCCGAAAAAATGGCCCCAAATGACTGAGAAAAAACAGTTTTTCGCAAATATCTGCCAAAATATGCAATTTACAAAATTTTTCTTAAAATAAGAAATGAAGCTTATAGGTAAATTACCTACAAAAAAACTTTACTACGGAAGTCCCAAAAAAGCGGAAAACTCACGCATAGTTGTTTTTTATTAAAATGTGATTAAACGAATATGTACTTCAAACTTTCTGAGTTGCTTATTTTAAATTTTAAAGAGGCTCTAAGAACAACTGTTATAGAAATATCTTGACAAATAAGCTATTATTGTGAAAATATGAATAAGTTCGTAAAAATCTGAAAATTTTTGGGTTAAGGAATGTTTTCTCGTTTTTTTTATTATCATAAAATATGGCAAAATTAAACAAATTCTTAAATGTGATAGCTGTTGATTCTACCTTTTAAATGAACTTAATCATCACAAAATATTAAATTTTAGCCGATTTATTGAACAATTTGTCCTATCAATCAATGATACGGTTATGAAATCTATCTTCGGAGCGTTAAGACTTGGGAGAAAAAGGAGAAAAAATTGAGGGATCTTCCAGGCGGAATATTTCGAAAACTACTAATTATACTAGAACTATTTTTGTAGGCAATTATCTAAGCTTTTTATTCCAAGAACGAAACATTTTAGTAGGTACATAAATTTATACGAACTTTTTTACTCATTTTTATCTGCAAAATATATTACGAATTTTCTCTATTAGTGCCGTTTACATGGAGCGCCCTGTCCGTTGGTTGAACAACTACCGTGAGTTTATATGAATATTATCACATGGGCGCGGATGATCCGTCCAGATTTCGTCCGACCGTCATCCGTCTAGCCTGTGCCTTGGCGGACTATCTTTGCGCGGGTCTGCTATAGTCTCTTATCATGGCTTGCTTCGTTGAGGCGGCCATGGCCGTGAAGCTCACTTTAGCTCTCCAACCGTCTTCTCTCTTTAGCCTTTCCATTGATGACCAATAAAAGAAACATATCGGCCGATGAAGGAGGAGCTTGTATTTTAGGTCCTACCCAGGTTGGGGCATGTTGGGTCTAGGTCTTGCGTAAGGTTGCTGTTGGTCTTACAGGCATTACGCTAGGCTTGGTCTTGCTTTTTTTGCAAAACCAAGACCAGTCTTGCCCATCACTACCGATCAGACTTACACAAGTCCAAGACCAAGCATGCAAGACTTTTGCGGTCTAGCATGCTGAAACATACCGAATATTACCTAATGGTTTTTGACCCATCATAATATAAATTTAATCTAATATAAAATTATCGTGTCAGAGGTCACAGTTTTAGTTACCATATACTCCTTCGTAGCGGCTTAACGGATATTATATTCAGTATGTCTGAGAACATCATCTGGTTGATATCTATTTTTTATACCCTAAGTGATAAGGGTAAAGTAATTTTTTTTGAACAAAAATTTTTATTTTTATTTTTTTATGTGGCATTAAAAATACATACAACCTTAAATTTTCATCTTTTCAATTTTCATCGTTAATTTAGAGCATTTTTTAAAATTATAGAGTGTTTTACAGAATGTCTCCAAAAGGAAGTTACACATCAAACTTGTGTTTTTTGTAATGGAACACCCTATATATTAATTGATTTTCGGATTTTAGCAGAAAAATAATGGTGAGTTACATATTTAACTTTTTCTAAAAACGAAAAACAAATTTTTAATTTCAATAAAAACTGCCTATGTATGTACCTAAATTGGAATTTACCTGGTATAGCCTAATATGTAATTAAAATAACTATTGTTCTTTAAATCAAACTAAAACTTGACCCAAAAAGTTATACAGGGTCAGACAAAATTAATATTGAACATTGGTCACCTTTAAAAGCAAGTTACTCTTTTATTTTAAATGGAACACCCAGTATATTATTCCGATATTCAACGGGGAATTCATGTTTCTTCAAAATACTATAAAGGTTGCCTACCCCTCAAACAAAGATTTTCATAGATATTTTAATTTTTGTGATTTAGTGTCAATAGATATTTATTATTTGATAAAATCTAGTGGGTGGTGAGATACCCTGACGTTACTTCAACATAGCTGTCAAATTAGTCCACCTTTAACAAGTAGTTATCATTTTGTATTAGTAATTTTATCAATTAAAAAAGATCTACTGATGCAAAATCATAAAAATGAAAATATCTACAAAAATCTTTGTCGAAGAGGTAGGCAACCTGAATAGTATTTTGAAGATATACGAATTCTCCATTGAATATCGGAATAATATATTGTGTGTTCCATTTAATATAAAGGAGTAACTTGCTTTTAAAACTGACCATTGTTCAATATTAACTTTGCCTCACCCTGTATAACTTTTCAGGTCAAATTTTAATTTGGTTTCACATACAATGGTTATTTTAACTAAATATCAGGCTATACATCAGGATAAATTACAATTTAGGCAGCTGTTATTGAAATTTAAAATAAATTCTTCTTTTTCAAAAAATTTAAAATATGTCGAAAACCTAGGATCTAGGGATATTCTTCTTTAATGGAACTCACCTTTATTTTTTTCTTAGAATCCGAAAATCAATTAATATATAGGGTGTTCCATTACCAAAAGCCCAACTTTGATACGTAACTTTTTTGGGGGACACCCTGTAAAACTCTCTATATTTTTAAAAACTGCTCTAAATTAACCTATATCTGCTCCCAAAATTTCATATCGATATAAATTACCGTTTTCCTTGGAGCCTCCGAGGAGTTTCTTTCCTCCTTATTTGGAAAAAAATCGAAATAAAAATGAAACTTCTACACCCTGTAGGTATCTCCGAAACGAAGCATTTTAGGACATAATACCAGCGGCGTAGCGTGGCGTCAATACAAGGGGATGTAATAAGTATGTAGCTGCAATTAACATTTTACCGAGACACAATTTTTTTTATTAATATTTTTAATTTTGAAGTTACAAAAATAAATTATACAAAAAAACATAACAGGTTAAAAAAATAATCAAACCATATAAAAAAAACTAAATTTAGGTAAAAAAAACAAAGCTGTATGAACGTGTCTGTTAGATTTTAAATTTTAAAATTAAGATTAATTCTTCACAATAGATCTTTAAGGTCGCGGTGACTAACTCCCCTCCTACCCTCAAACCAAACCAAACCAAACATTCTACAAGATTAATTCTTCTAATATGCATATTTGCGAAAACTTTTATTACATTTTCTTCAAATGAAGAAGAGCGCATTCTCTCTGGTAATGAACTATCAATGTTCATCATAAATCATCATGAAACACCCAG